ATTTAGTATAGAACCACAAACAGAACAAGTCGGAGCGGGAGCCACGCGACACACGTCTTACTCCTCCGCCATCTTGCCCCGCCCTCTTTGTTTTCGTATTCTAAGATTTTTTTCAGATACGAACAAAATTCACGAGTGGTCCAGACATGTCGTATATTTTACGAGCAGTCAGTCTGCTGTTATCCAGAAAGATTTTCCTCCCTAATAACTTTATATTTTGTTAGTTTTATGATATTTTGAGTTGAAAATAAATTACACTTGTAACATGTCACTTGTCTGTTCTTCCTCAGTCTTAACTCACTGCCACTCTGCCACGCCCATTTGGTTTCAGTTGCAATCAGGCTCATGAAATTCACGTGTATCCTGCTCCATATAAACCCTCTCTTCACACAAGATCTCTGCCAGATTATTGAACGCTGTCAGCAAGTAGATGTCCAGCATTCTTCCTAAGTTCCTGCCTGATTCCACGGTCACTACCCAACGCCTGCTTCTTGGTTCCCCTGATCTGCCTGCTCCTTGCCTGACTCTGTTTGCCTCTCTGACCTTCTGGATTTCGACCCGCTTTCTGCTCACTGGACCTTGTACTCTGGATTATCTTCGGCTCTCTGCTTTCCTGTGCATGACCCCTGCTCCACGCCAAGCAAACCACAAGCAAGTCTTTTTCCTTTGTATCACTGCCCTGGATTAAAGGCTACAGTTTGCCCACCACTCACCTAAAGCAAAACTGTCTATGCCAAGAGTGCTCGTTTTTCAACAGGACTTTCATGCTCTGGGTTCAGCTCTCCTCTCTCTCCTGAGAAGAGTGTTCCTGCCTGAAGCCCCAGAACCTCTGCAGTTTTGTTTTAATAAATCTTGTTAAAACTTCTTTGTGTTTGGCTGAATCCTAACCCCCAACCCTGTCAACACTCCATAATTATGTTGACAATAGGCTATTCTGCTTGAATTAGAGTTATACTTTTAAATGTAATAATTTAAACTAAAAATTAAAAATAAATTTTCCGGCCGGCCGACTTATCCGGGATTGGGTCGTGGGGGCAGCAGCAGAGAGACCACGCTCTCCCCAGCGACACCCTCCATGTCCTGGGGGACTCCGAGATGTTCCCAGGCCAGAGGGGATACATAATCCCTCCAGCTAGTCCTGGACTTCTCCAAAGTGCCAGACATATTTTGAAAACATTTTTAAAATGCTTATTGCAGAACCACAACTGACATCACTTGAAACTGCGCGCGGGGGGGTGTATGGTGCGCGACGGTGTGGCTTCTGAATAAATGAAAATGATTCAACACAGTTGTTTATACTTTTAGCAGCTCTTTTTTGTTCCACAGCTGACGCTGCTAAAAATGACAGATTTTCTTTTCTGGACCTCTGACAGCAGGACTTTAATCTCTGAACTCGTAAAGTTCTTCTTTTTAGATTTTGCTGTCATTTTTCATGAATGGACACTTCCTTTTATCTGAGGCAGGAAACGTAGCCTTTTATGGTGTTTTTGGGGTGGTAATTATGCTAATCTCCTCTCGCGTGCACGTGCAGCTAGATGCGAACAGGTGGAATTTACGCAGCTCATTTACACACTTTTCCTGAAGATAGAAGAGTTTGTTGAATCTGATGTGACATGTTCGTACAAACTCTTCATATGAACAAAAGTAAGAGAAATTTAGGATTAAGAATATGAACATGTTCTTGCATGAGGCCCAATGCCTTTATTGTATGAACTGATGCAGGTAAAAGATAACTACTTTAAAATAAAATAAAACTAGGTACCACAGAAGGAAAAGAGGAAGTAAACTGTTAAGACAAAGGAAAAGAGGATTCAAACGGATTAAAAAGAGGAGAGATGACGTCCGAGAGGAGTTGCCATGGTGACATAGAAAATTTTAC